TCCCCCCCCCCCCCCCCCAGTGGGAGAAAAACAGAAATAGAGGAGGAGCTGGGGAGGTGGAGGGATGCCGGAGAATTGATGCTGTGACGGTGCAATGAGAGCTGCTTATATATAGACTCGTAATGATGATTGACAGGACTGAATGACTAGGCTCCTCCCGAACCTACGTTTGGAACTTCATTTTTTTTTCTCCATCACCACATCCTCTTTGGAGCTTTGTAAAATTAAACCTAGCTTAAGCGTAAGCGTAAAATTCTACAAAAGCACATGAAATACCTCGTTGTATGTTTGGATAAACTGTTTGAAAATGCTTATGGTAGAATCCATGTAACAATCCTCACAGACCGATAGACAGCTTACACAACTAATGATGATGTGGACAAGTCGTTGCGCGCTAAACTCCAGTCGCTAGATGGCAGCGAGCACGTCAACTGTGCGCAGGAGTTGGGAGCGAGCGCGCATGCGTCACTCTTAACGCTGCGTCAGTCTTTCCGCTGTTAAATCTACGTGGCTTCACACACAGCGGAGTCAGTTTGTTACTTGCTGCCGAACCACTGCTTCGTCCTTTGATTTGTCAACACAGGTAAGCTTCTTTTCGTCGACTTTGCGTGTGTAGTAGTCTATACTGGTATAACGTAAATAATGCAGTTTTAAAATAAGGTTATAATACGGTTCTGTGTCTTACTGAGGACGTGTCTGCTGTGATCGGTGAGTTTGAGCGTAAACACTGTTTCTAACTGATCCGATATTACCACTTTCTTAGTCTGAGTTAAAAATGCTTAACATTTAGATGCTTATGTTCAATTATCAATTTAGAAATGGTTATCAAAGTCCTTTGCAAGTGTTTTTATTTAGTGTAACGTAAAGTGCGCAGCATGCAGGCTAACAGTGCTAGTTAGCCAATCTGTAGATTATAGTCATTGGTCACTAAAGATTTGTTAGCTAGTTAACAAAGTTATGGGTTTAACAACTGGCACCTTTTAATAATATATTTTAAAAACTAGCTTTTGAGTAGATGGGATTGGATTCCAGATGCTTGGGTTTTGGGTGAAGGGTATCTGGGTCTAATAAATTCATACGTAGTGAAACCTGTATAAAGCATCTACGTTAACTGGTTTCTGTGAAATGTTCTTTTTCCTGTGAGATGCAGAGGTCTGGTTGTGATTCGTGTTTTGTTCTCTGATGAGGATGTTTAGTGTTTGTAGTTCACATTTGGGAGTTAAAATGTTCTGATCTGTTCTCTCTCCAGCCTCTCATCAGGATGGATCAGATCATGCAGTTCGTGGAGCCCAGCAGGCAGTTCGTCAAGGACTCCATCAGACTCGTGAAAAGATGCACAAAGCCAGATAGAAAAGGTAATTCCAGTCTTTTGTCGTTTTAATTCAAAGAATTGATAAGCATAAAGAAACTTCAGGAGTACTGATGCTAGTTATGTATGAAAGTCTACATTTTATTAAGTTCTCTTGAGCTGAATGCAGATGAATTGTTTGTGATAAAGATATTGGCTGTGGAAAAGATGATATAAGAGAAAAATCTAATAAATAGACAGCCGTTTCAGGGGAAAATGGTGTGAAAGTAATGTTTGTAAGAGAAAATAAAAATGGAATATTTCTAAACCTATTTTATTTGACTGTTTATTTTGAGAGCATATTTAACATTGCATGTACTTAAATCTGTTTCACATTTATGATAAAATAGAAATATTTTTTTTAAATTTCCTGCTCTCTAGAATTCCAAAAGATTGCCATGGCAACAGCAATTGGATTTGCCATTATGGGCTTTATTGGATTCTTTGTCAAACTCATCCACATCCCCATCAACAACATCATTGTGTAAGTAATCCACAAAAACACACAATTAACATTGTATTTCAGCCTTTTATTGCGAGTAATATGAAAAAAAAACATTGATTACATGAACATGATACAGTCTAATACTACAGTGCATATAAAATTGTGCAAATTGCCTTTTGAACAGACATTTTGTTTCATTCAGTCTTTGATTTGATTTAGTCTTTGATTAAATCTAGTCTTTGATTAAATCATGATTGTTTGTCTTTTGTTAACAGCGGTGGTTGAATCAGCTGCATTGTGAGGCCAAACAGACCTTCGGCTGCCTGAAACTGTTGGATGATGTACTGAATGCGGAAATTTGTATAAATCATGTTTTTTGTGCGCGTTAACATTTATATTTGGCTGTGTTAATAAATCAAAGGTTACACTACTCGTTGTCTTCATTAATAAAAGGCTGTTAGTGCTGAGGAAAAGGCACATTTTAAAGGCTTTGGTGCTTTGTTCACAGTGGTTTAATTCCCATGCTCCATAGAAGTGGCTTGTCTGTGGTGACAGTAACAGGTTTTCTGCCTCCTTTGGGGTCGTTGTCCTCGTAAGTGTTGGATGTGCTTACAAGCTGTCCAAAAGCCAAAACTTGATTGTCTATAAAAAGGGGACAAAAGGTAATAAGTAGAGTTTTATGGACATTCCAAACCGCTAAAAAGGAATCGTTTAGCATTACGTCCATTGCTCACCAATGGATCCTCTGCAGTGAATGGGTGCCGTCAGAATGAGAGTTCAAACAGATGATAAAAACATCACAATGCACAAATAATTTATATTACTTTAGTCCATCAATTAATGCATTGTGAAGTCAAAAGCTACATATATGTAAGAAACAAATCCATTATTAAGAAACACTGCTTCCAGCTAAAATGTGAGTCCTTTATCCATACTATTGCTTTCTCTAGCAAAAAGTCTTATCCGAATCCGGAAATACGCACTAATCAAACACCATTTACAAGTGAAAAACAATCCAAAAACCGTTTTAAACAAATTGAAAACGAGCAAAAAATGTAAATAATAAAAAATAAATGGTCTAAACAAAATGAGTGGATTTTGATGTGAAAGAACTACTTTTTACTGGAGGAAGCTTTATGTATTATAGACTGGTATTTTGACCAGAAGCGATGGTTTAAAGTTAAAACATTTTGATGGATTTGATTCTTATAAATGCTTTTCACTTCACAAGACTTTAATTGATGGACTGGAGTCATGTGGATTACTTGTGGTATGTTGTGATGTTTTTATCTTCTGTTTGGACTCTCATTCTGACGGCACCCATTCACTGCAGAGGAACCATTGGTGAGCAAGTGCTGTAATGCTGCATTTCTCCAAATCTGTTCAGATGAAGAAATAAACTACATTTTGGATCGCCTGAGGGTGAATAAATTTAATTTTTGGGTGAACTATTCCTTTAGGGTACTTCATGATTGAGGATTTTCATGCATTTAAGGTGCAAAGAAGGGTGAGAAATGAAGGGGATAAGAAAAAAATGCCACCAAAGTGTCCAAGTAACCACCAAAAGCTGTGAATACACCGCCTCCGCCTGCTGTAGTTTTAATTAAATTGGCCACCCGAGGCTTCTCGCCAAACCCGCCAGGGGTGCTTGTGGAAATGTTCTAATGAGTGAAGCGGGACAGAACATGCCCTCGCATAACCTGGTGGGAACGACACTGTTTTCTCTGTCTCTGGCTCTCTCATTCAGTTTAACTGCTCACTGGAAACCCCGAGCAGCAGCGGTGCTGTAATCTGGATGCCAGACAGAGTTCAATGGCTCTCACTTCAATGGCCCAGCCATCCAGCAACAAAAGCGTACATTTCTCTTGATCACTGAGCATGCTATTCCCTTCCGAGAGACCCAGGTGCCACTCAGAAAGGAGTTATACCTGTTAGCTGGAATGTGACCCAATTAAGAATTTCGGTGGTCCCTTATAACATCAGACACACTTGACTGAAGTCATTTGTGTGAGGCCACTGAAGTGGAGAAGAGAGTTTATTATTTGGAGCACCAGACTGGTTAACGTTGTGGTTTTGTACTCTTCTGCAACAGGTTTTCATGAGAAACTATTTAGTCAAACTTTAAAATTAAAACTTGTTTTTCATATCTTTAGTAAGATACTTTTCAAGTTAGTCTCTCCTGAGCCTATACTGACCCCCAGTGGCGATTTTTCTTTTATGCCAAAATCATTAGGATATTACCGTATTGTCCCGAATATAAGACGACCCTGATTATAAGACGACCCCCCTTTTTCCAGATGTACCTTTTGGAAAAAGGCTTTTTAAAAAACAAATCTTGTTTTTTCTCAGTAAAACACATTTTGTCTTCAATTATTTTCATATTGCATATTTTTCCTTTTTTTTAATTTTTAATTTTCAAGATATTAAGTAAAGATCATGTTCCATGAAGATATTTTGTAAATTTCCTACTGTAAATATATCAAAACTTATTTTTGATTAGTAATATCCATTGCTAAGAACATCAACATTGTCATTTGGACAACTTTAAAGGTGATTTTCTCAATATTCTTATTTTTGTTAATTTATTTTCAAATAGTTGTATCTCAACAAATCATACATCAATGGAACGCTTATTTATTCAGCTTTCATATTATGTGAACTTGTAAAAAAAATGGACCCT